AAACAAAGAAAATCAGCCTTACAAAGATTCTAAGAAATGGAGGAAGTGAATAGAAACATTTTATAGTCTAAAAATATTTGGCGAAGAAGGATACCATGACAGACATTTTTAAGCATGGGATACGTGCCAAAAATATTCCAGTGTTATAGATGGGGGGCCTTATAATTTTGATTATGTGTTGACATTTATTTTCCTTTCTTTCCTCTGACTCTTTCCTTTTCCCTCCTTTTTTATTATTTACTTTTTTTTTTTAATCTCAGCTTTTATGTTAATACAGTAGCTTCAGATATTTGAAATTTTTTTTTAGAAATCTTGGATCACTCTGGCGTTATGATAGAATATGTAAATGAGTTACTGTTGGAAGATCAGTGGCTTTTTCTTATTTATTACCCATCTCCATTGGTTTTAGCCTATTATGTTTTACCTTTATACCTACATTTTCCTGACTTTTTTTAGATTATAAATCTTTTGGTAGTTGTCTTTTCTAAATCTGTGTTTAAAAATATCACCTGCAGTACTACTAGTAGGGCAAATTGGGTTTTGGTCTCAACTTAACTTGTAACCTGGGGAAAATATAGTCTCAGGGCCTCTGTTTTCTCATTTACAAAATGAATGAGTTATCTTATAGGAGCCATATTGAATCAGATAATTTGGTTTTAAGTGACACATGATTCTGGTTTTTATAAAAAAGCAAAAATGGAGAAATTATTAAGGGATAGGGTATTAGCAGCTCCCAGAATTGGGGGAAAAGTTGAGCAACTAGGTTTTGTGATAGAGGAGAACCAGAGTATCAGCAGAAGTTAGCATGTATATTCTTTCAGGGGTGTTATAAAGTGACTTGGCTCCAACTACCTTCTATCTCTTTTAACGGTTTTAAATTTTCAGGAAGGAGAATCTGATAGGCCTACTCTGGGTCAGTCAGCCATGACCAAGAGAGATGAGTAGACCAGACCATATTTATTGTGAGCTGATCAGTTACCCCATATTGTATTTCTCTCAGGTATCTTATCTTGGTACCTGTAGGTTCAGGGCCTCGTGCTTGGTATCCATCCTATCTGAACCTAGCTCCTTAGTCACAAAAGCCCTCACTCCTGTTCCCTATCAGACTCCCATCCTGATCAGCTTTGCCCTTCCACTCCTGCTGTTACCTGCTCTGTTGGCCCCCTAGACAAAATCTCTTAAATATATAACTTTTTCTTCAAATGCTCTTCCAACTGCCTCACTTGAACTAAATCCTGGTTTTTACCAGTCTACTCTCTTTTTTTCATCTCCTGCCATTCATGGAACTAGAAATGATTTCATTCTGTTTCCATTTCAGTCTCTTCTGTTTCATCTTACATTATTAACTCAAGCTGCCTCCTCCCGTAGTTCTCCTGACCTCACTAACCTACACTTCACTCTTCTGCATGTTTTAGTGACTCAGTACCTAGCCCAATCTCTGTTTCTCCCCAATCCCTGTTAAACCATACGTTAGCATCCATCTTTCATACTGGTTTAACTCTTAGTTTCAGAGACTGTCACTTCCATTTCACTTTTCCCACTGATATAGTGGACCTTATAATCCATTGTCACTTGAAAGTTACCAGAATCTCCAGTCCATTCTACTGTGTGTACATGTACTTTCTTATCTAATCTTATCGAGACATCTGGCCCTTTGGCCTGTCCTTACTTGCTACAGTTGTTAGCCCACTCAGCTTTTCCATTTACGTTGTTGATTTCACCCCAGATTCCCTTTCTTTGGCACCTTTCATCACCTGGTTGCTGTTTGTGAGTCCCTGGCTCTGGGTCCTTCCCAGGCCCTGCTGGATTGGTTTTCTCATCTTCCTTCCTGCTCATCTCATTTTCCATCAGAGTGGCAGGGTATGTGGTAGTACTTGGAAAAAGCTGTTTGACCCCAGTCAGTTATGTTTTCTCTGCTCTGAAAGTTTTGATTCTTTAGTATTGGTAATGAAAGGGTCATCTTTGATTGGCGTTATAAAGGTGAGAGCTCGAGGGGTATGCTTACTTACCACTGTTAGAATTTGAGCACTTGGCCTTTTGACTATGTCGTTTCTTCCCTTTTCCATAATCATTTTATCTGCTCCATAGTCTAGGGGCAGAACAGGGAGTAAGTACCCCTTTGCTGGTGGTAGTGGCAGCTGGGAAATGGGACCTCTTAGTCTTCCATACATGCCGATGTCCAAGCTAAGTCAGATAAGGATGGCAAGTATGTACTACTGCAGTCTTCATTTCTGTAATCTTTAGTTGTGTATATATTTGCTCTTGGAATAGTAATACTCAAAGATATTTCTCCTATTATATAATATGTTTAAAAACCCTCTTGTCTTATTTTACTTTTGGCAGTTCTATTATACAGACATAGGGTATTTAGCAACTTAGTCATCCATTATTTACTCAACAAATATTTATCTAGCACTTTCTATGGCCAGGCATCATATTAGGTTTTGGATATACTGCAGTCAACAAAACATGCCTACGTGGAGCTAATTGTCTGGCGAATAGGCAAATAACAAGCAATCGTGTGAATACATATTTAACTGCACATTGTGAAAAAGTGCAGTGACAGACAAGAATAAGGTGCTGTGAGAAAAGGAGGCACAGAGTTTAGGTTGGATAGACAGAGAAGAATCTCTGAGGAAGTGGCTTGTGAACTATAAGCTGGAGTGTAAGGAGGGGTTAGGACAACAGACAGATCTAGAGCTCTGTGGGTCTGGTTGGAGAATTTGGATCTTTTTCTAAGGAGAAACACTGAAAGATATTAAGCAGAGGGAGTGACATGGTATGACAGAGTTTTAGTTGATTTATGTTTGATCATTTACTTTTTAATGATCAGTATAACTATTTTGCTCTTACTTAGTTAGTAAATAGTATGATGATGGTGGTGGTGGTGGTGGTGGTGGTGCCTGAAAGGTGAATATTTTGCTAGCAGTGTGGTTTAAATTTAGCAACATTACTGTGGAAAGCTCTTCATCATGTTTTTCCCTTCTTATATTGTGCTTTATGGAAATCTCCTTTTTTGGTTACTTTTACTTTTAAAAAGTAACTGAATATCAGTTGGTTTCAGTTGCTGTGTTTCAGAATTGAAAATATCAGTGGTCTTAGAATGACAGCTTAGAGAAAAATTAGGGCCATTTAATGTAATTGCTATAACCAGGATTGGAATGATAAGATATTGAAACTTTTTTATGAATAATATAATATTCATAATATTATATTATAATATTCAGTTGATGAATAATATAATATTAACTGTGAGAAGTGGTAAAATTATAATAACATAAATTTCAACATAAACTCATTAGTTCAAGCTAATTTTGTAGGCAGTAGTGGGGTTTATTTTTGAAGCACTTACCCTCTGTCTGTCTGTCTATCCAGACTGGATTTTGGTGGCAATGGATAGCATATCTACCATTTTGATAAGTTTTGTCCTTTTAGATATCATAAACATTAATATTCTAAGTCTGAGAAGAAAAAAAAGAAATATAATAAATTGCAGCTCAGAATATCCTTTGGTGTACTAGATAGGAATGCAAACCTAAAACAATTTGTATTTCTAGAGTGAAATACAACTTATTTCAATAAAATATATAAATATGAACAACCTAATTACCTTAAGGAATGATATAAAGAAGAAAATGAAGCCCAAAGTTGGAAGGAAATAACAGAGATAAGAGCGAAAATAGAGACGAAAAATAAATAGGAAAAATCAATGAAACTAAGAGCTGACTTTTTGAAAAGATAAACAAAATAGATAAGCTTTTTGCTAGATTCACCAAGAAAACAGGGAGGACTCA